TATGAATTGAAAGGAGGAGGGAGACTCAGAAAGTTGGGAGATTTAGAAAGTTGGGAAATTTAGAAACCTTCTGCTGTGGCCATATAAACAGTAAAAATTTCCTGGGAGAGTGAGACCCTTCTGTGGGACTGCCAGCTTTTATGAGCCATCCCCAATGATGGGGGGCAGGATTCTTTTTGTAACACAGCTGCCTTTGAGACACCCATAATTCTGTAAGTAGTTCTTCACCCATGCCTAGTATTTAACCCCAATAAACTCATTAATTCATGAGGCTATACCTGGATGGGATTGTTTCTTAGATCTGTCATCTTTGCCCTATCTGGGGTGGATAGGCGTTTGTTCCTGTCTTCCCAGAAATAGTCACCTAACAGCTGCTGAGGAGAAGGACTGAGAAAATCCTCACATATCTGAACAGAGACATGACCTGTTCCACCTGCCTCAATTTACACATTTGCTATTCCAGAAAGACTACCTTCTAAGACCGCACCAACTTGGGTGGCCATCCTGACATTTCTGTTTACTGTGTGTACAAATGATGGCATCCCAGCAATACTTTCCGAGCATCAGTTGTCTCTTCTACATAATGGGAGTGACAGCATCTTCTGGCATAGTCATTGACATCTCTGGATATCACACACAAAGGCTCTGGGCACTAGAAAATGCAAGATTGGAAAATGGTAGCTTTATAACTTTTGCCCTCTCATCTATACTGTTTGTCCAGCAAGTTCTTAACATGTACTGGTACCTCTGCATGACAAGGCCAACCACGCCTTGCTTAGCACAGTAACTAATGTGAGCTACATTCCCAATGAAATGTCTGTGATGGTGACAACTGAATGAAATTTTTTTCTCAATGTCTATCCAAATATCTCAGGGAAATAATGGTGTGTGTGTGTGTGTGTGTGTGTGTGTGTGTCCACCTCATTTCAAACAGGGCCTTTGTTTTATTTTAGCTTTAAATACAACATCAGCAGTCCCAAAAGCCTCTTGGAATTCTCCTGTCTCCACCTCCCATCTCCAGGTAGGAATGTTGGGATTACAGACACTTGCCCTACATACCTGGCTCACACATGAACTCTGAGAATTGAACTCAAACCCTCATGCTTGCACACCAAGCACTTTGACCCACTGAGCCACCTTCCCAACTTGTCCTTCTCACATTTTTAAAGAACAAGGTGCCCTTCCTTAAACCATACCCTGAATTTGTTTATTGTCTCTAGGAGTTTTCTTGTAGACTCTGGCATCTCTCACATATAATATTATGTCATCTGTAGACGAGGATGGTTCTACTCCTTTTCCCCTTGGTTTCCTTCACTTGCTTTACTGCCCCAGCTAGTGCTTTGAGCATAGTGTGTAAGAGGTGTGGGAATAGTGAACAGTCCTGTCTCATTCCTGACTTCAGTGGGATTGCTTCAAGCTTTTGTTTATTTAGGATGACGTTGAATGTGGGTTTTATTATGTTGACATAATAAAACGTAGTAATAAAATAATAATAATATAATAATAATATAATAATAATAATAAAATGTAGTCCCTACATGCAGTTATCATGCAGTCATGTTGGATTTTGACAAATACTTTCTGGATCTGTAGAGATAACCATGTGATTTTCATCTTTAAGTAAGCACATTTATGCTGTTTATTACATTTATCAACTTGCATATGTTGAACCATCTCTGCATTACCAGGATTAATCCAACTTGTTCATGATGGATAATCTTTTGGATGTGTCAATAGTCTGTTTGCAGGTATTTTGCTGAGTATTTTTGAATTTATATTCATCAGGGATATTGGTGTAGTTTCCTTCTGTTGTTTCTTTACCTGATTTTGGTATTAGAGTGATATTAGAAGGATTTTCAGAGTACTCCTTCGGTCACCTAAACATGAGATGAACAGTAATGACACCAATGGGCATGCTACCTGAAAGGGGGAAAACTCATGAGGTCTCAACCCTACAAAAAAGATGTACAAGCAACCAAGAAATGCAGAGAGCAGGAGAAATGGTTTTCCCAGGGAAGAGCACACCAGTTGGTTATCCAACACCAAATGGTCAGTCCTGAAAACACATGCATTCTCCAGACTGAGCAGGGTGTGTTTGTGAATTTAGGAAATGTATGTATGTATGTATGTATGTATGTATGTATGTATGTATGTATGTATGTATTATTATGTATGTATTAATGAAAATGAGTAAAAGATGTCATGAATTTGATAGCAAGAGGGTATATGGAAGAGTTTGAAGGGAGGAAAGGAAAGAAGGAAATGACGTAGTTATAATCTCAAAAAAATTTTAAGTAAAGCACTAAACATTTAGAAAGATTTCTTCCTGTGACACTGGCAGTGTGGGGCATTCTGCGAGAGCTGTATGACCTCTGCAGTGCCTCAGTTCCCCTGCAAGTGAGGTCTCTTGCCTGTACAGGAGCCTTGTTTGGCAGGATGTCTCTCTTGACTATACAGGGGTCTGTTCTTAGCAAGGATGTTTCACCAACACAAAACATCCCAGTTTTATCTAAAGAATATTTAAAATTCTATTTTTCTACGAGTATTTTTTCTATCTATAAGCATAAAATGATTGCTAAAACGATAATATTTCTCTTATACCCACACTTTGGGCATGTACGTCTTTTCGTCTCCCCCTGTATAGTTCTTATGTGTGGTATCATTTTAGTTTCTTCATTTGTAGTACTCAAGGTAGAAGAGATAGTTTTTTCCTAACATACTCAAGAGGTGAGGTTTAAAATTTTTACCCATTTAATTTCTTGAAAGCCTACAAGCTGAAAACTCATAAGTAAAATGGCTTCACATAACAAAATTAGCAATAGGATGACAACTGAGAGCTGAGTGGGACAGGGAGTGTCTGCTGCTCATTTACTCATTGTAGTGTTTCTCCTTTCTTTCTGTGACTAATCGACTCAAAGTATATATGTATTGTTTTTTTTTTTAAGTACCCAAGAACTTGATTCATCTGTTCTATTGTAGACCTCACAAGTCACTCACAGAAAGTCTAACTTAACAAAATGATTCAATTTTTTATTGGGTATGCTTCACAATGGACATTTTGATTGACATATCCAAGTCAGATAAGAAAGCTCAATTTTAAAACCTAAAGTGATCACTCTGCTCAAAAACCTTCTTTTAAGCTATAAGCTTGTCTCTTCCAGGGTACCGTTAACTCCTTGCAGTGACAGCCATCATTCGTTTCCAGATGCCTCCTTTTAGGAAAGACGTTAAGATATCCTTTAATTCTCATTCCAAAGCTGCATCTTAGCAACCACAATGATAGGTGGAAAGAACACTAGATGTCACACCAGAAAATCTGCCCAAATCAAGACAGTGACATCTCATACTATATGCCCAGAGTACAGAAAAATATTTCTAGCCTTGGTTTCTTCGTTATCAAAATAAAGATCACAATGCTTACCTTACAGTGCTGTTTTCAAAACAAAATTAGATTTAAAAATATGTAGGTGTAACGTATAAATTCTAAAGTCCATACAATTTATCTTCATCATCATCATCATTCATGTACAAGGATGGTTCATTGATTACTCAGTGAAGATTTATCAAACATGACCATGGAGCAAACGTTTTTACTAAAGCCGTAGAGATACAAAGGTCTTAAGGAGCTTTGATTCAGGGGTGGGGGGCAAAAGGACAAAGTTGGATGAACCATGCACTGAGGTGACAATTTTTTCAGGGAGCTAGGTAGAGCACCATAAGTAGAGCATATGCACCATGGAGTATAGGAAGGGAGAGAGGGTGAGGACTCCTGAGTAGACACCTGTTACGATAAATATTTCTGCCAAAAGCTGCCTGAGCCCCACCACCACGTGTGAGCTTTACGCCAGCCACCTGCCTGAGTTAGGCCCAAATGAATACACAGAAACTTGTATTAGGTTCAAAGCTGCTTGGCCAATGACTAGGATTCTCATCCGCTAGCTCAGTCTTAATTATCATAAATCTATATATGTTATAAGATTTATCTTATCGGACGCCTTGTTGGCGTCCCTCCTGGCTGGTGGATCACATCGTGTGCTGGAGCAGGAGTGGAGGGGAAAAGAGGGCCCTTCCTGAGTCTCCTTGCTATGTCACTTCCTGTCTGGATCAGCACTTCTCTACTACATTTCCCAGAATCCTCTTTGACTCCTAGTCCTGCCTAATTTGCCGTTTCATTGGCCAAACAGTATTTTATTTAACAATCAATAAGATAAACATACACAGTACATTCCCCATCAGACACCAGGAGCTATTTGATTTCAGATCCAGCATCAAGAAAATACACCAGAAAGAATGTAATTCTTTTAGCTAGGGACCAAATACTGAACGACTGACAAGCTTCCTGGAGCCCTCTGGCATATGTTGGCATATTCCTTCTGAGTTTCACCCAGAAGAGATATGACTGCTTTTAAAGTCCATGTGAGATGCAACAATAACGCCACGTCCTTTTAGATACTGCTCTGCACAGGGTGTCACTCGGACTCTCCAAGCCTTGGTTCTTAAATGCAGACAATAAATTCTGTTTCGCAAGATCATTGGAAGAATTAAATGAGATAAAACATAAAACATCAGCCACAGGGGTCTTGACACTCATTCCTTTGGTGCAATCAATGTGATAGGAATCGTGCTGGTGACGTGACTCAAGCGGGTAGTGGTGCTTGCCACAAAAGCCTCACAACCTGAATTTGATGCTCGAAACCCAAATAATAGTAGAAGGAGAACTAACTTCACAGGTTTGTACTCCGACTTCCACATGTGGCCTGTGTGCCCACCTCTCCTCTCTCTCTCTCTCTCTCTATTTCTCTCTCTCTATTTCTCTCTCTCTATTTCTCTCTCTCTCTCTCTCTCTCTCTCTCTCTC